GGGCAGGTTTGGTGTTGCAAAGCTGAAGTTAATCTTCGAATGAACTAAAGTTTGTGATTCACTACTGTAGTCTCAGAATTTATGCGATTTTTTTTTTTCCTCTTGACTTCCTTGAAAACACTTTTCAGAAGTATTTTATTCCTTAAAGAGAAAAAAGAGGTTAAGATTGCTTAACTTTTATCCCAGAGACTAACCTTAATACTGATACTTCATTTCATTTCAAAACATGAAGTATTTATGACTCATTCTAATTTACATAAATTTTCTTATTTTATTATGAAAATGGCAATTTTCCTTTGCAGAGACATGTAAGACATGGTCTCTTTTATTATGTCAAGTAACATTTAATAGCCCTTAGCTGTAACTTGGGACTGTTATAAAATGTGCTCATGATGAGTCATCTTCATTCATTTATTCTGCAGTAGGAAGAATTCATGTATGAGTGATCTGCAGTAATTCACTTCTACAAAGAGAGCCCATTCATACATTTCAAACCTGGTTTTCTAAATCACTGTAATGTAGCTGATTATTTCACTTTAACAGAAAAAAAATTTGGCTTAAGGAAAGTTTCCACAGCAGTTTGAGTATTTCTAGTATGTGAGAACAGTTTCGTAGATTTAAAAGAGCTCTTCTGAAAATAAACATTTTAGTCTAACACATGGATACACAGATCTCTTCCTATCTATCTAGCAAGAAAAGCACAGTGTCTTTGGAAAGTAAGAGACTGACAAATGATTTAAACTGAAGTTGCATCAAAGGGAGCAGAAGTTATTGCTATCAGACAAACCACTAGGCAGCCAAAGAAAGTATTTTATAAAATCAGAAAAATGGCCATTGGCACACAGAAGTGCTCATTTGAAGCTGTATTAAGTCAAAATACGTACAACAGAAAAGCAACTAAGATCCAAGATTGCTAACTACAGAAATATAAAGCAACCATGCTTCTTATTTTACAGAAATATAAATGTAAGACACCAAGAATAAAATACATAAGTTAAAATCATCAAAAGTCCACCAAAATAAAGGAATGGGATTCACCAAGGAGAAAAGCTCCCTTCACCACCACTGCTCTTTTGCCAACTTTAAGAGATTTTAAACCAGGAAATAATCTTAAGAGCCTTTTCACCCAATCTTAATTACCATGGAAGAGGCCCACATTAAGAAGCCACTTCTCACTTATCATGGCTCCAAAACAGTCAAAGCTTTACAGGTCGTCTGAGAGAATTATACCAGCAAACAGATGGTAAGTCAGTACAGAGACCTGGGTATAAATACAGCATTTTCTTCAGAAGCTTAGCTCACAGAAAAAGCACGTGTGCGTCTCCATTAATTGGTGCTTTAAATTTTCATTACTTCATTGATTCAAGAACAGCTCTAAAACAGTCACTTTATTCACACCTCTCCTTTCTCGTAGAGAGACACTGACTCCTTCTTTTCAGGTTGAGCAGTTTTACCCTATGTATAGAGTATCCAAAGTAAAGATAGTTCTCTTTACAAATAAAATAACTGACAAGAGCAGCACAAAGATTGATGGAGCATCTCAATGTTTCCAACAGACAGGGTTATGATGCAAGAAAATACAAGTAACATTATGGTTAGATTTAGAAACAATCCACAATGACTTCAGCAGACAGAGCAATCTCAAGGTGAATTGACCAGCAATAAAGCACAGGAGAGATCTAGAATTATCCAAGGAACAGTGACTTACCAAATCACCCAAACAACTGTATCTGGCTATCTGCACTTCTACTGGGGATCCATCCAGAAGCAGCTCGCTACCTCTCAACTTCCATTCTTTCATTTTAGTACTATACTTACATAATTTCAATTTAAACATATGCCCATGCAAATTGCCTTTCAAGAACCTGAATTTACATTTTATTGTTTTCATCTTTGATCAATGTATAATATTCCAAATTCTTACTATCCTTTGTAATCTCAAATTATTTCTCTTTTAGTAAGACTTTACTCCAAAGAGACATCATATTTGTTAGCCACCATTTTACTAAGTATAAATTGGAATACAGACTTAGAAAAATAGTACTTGAAAGTTTTCCGTTCCTTAAAAAAATTGTACTATGTTCAATATTGAACTGAAGCCCTTGTTATTTGTAGAATATTTAACATCCCACAAAATATGAAGTAAATGAAGTTCTCAGAACCAGTTCATTCTAGAAAGCAAACATCAGAAACTAAGAGGTATTTGTTTGGTGGTCACTTACCATTCTATCACAAATAAGTAAGTGTTGCGAATTATACATGTAAGCTTTACAAGCCTCATTTTGAAAGGGATAAGAGAATGCTTGTAACAAAGTATTAAGTGCATTTCATGAAAAATCTTTGCTTGTACTAATGCTTTTCCTCCAGGTGGATTCTGAGTGTGATACACGACAAAAACGCATTAATTGCAATATGCAATATATTTGTTGTACATAATTACAATTTTTCTGTAGGCAATAAGTGCTGTGGTTTTGCAAAGTAGTACACAGATACACACTTAATGTATGTAATACTACCTTTTTTTACATAGTACATCACAGAAAAAGCTGAATATGCATTCTTCACAGAGACTTAAGTCAATGCAGTCAGAAAAAAGTATAAGGATAGGTAAAATTTACAGGAAAAACAGATTGGAAAAAAGTATTAAGAAACTTTATGATGACTATATTAACTTCCCACTGATTGCATCTCCACTAAATTTCAGCCATCTTTGCTTTCTTCATGCCTTTTTAAAAATAAGCATCTCTGCATGTTTATAAGGTTTCCTCCAAACCATACTCATTATGTATTTCCACATCTTTAACTTTGATTTGACCTAATAACTGAGTGCATACAGTGAAGAAGAGTACAGAGAACTGATGTGAGCTTTCTTTCTTTAGAGTCAATGCAATAGTCTCCTGTGGCTGTAATGGCTGTAACCCATTTTACAGACTCGTCGTCCATTTTGTAGCCAACTCAAGGGCAAACTATATTTGAGAAGTTGTGGCAGAGCAAAAAGGACCACCAATATCAAATTACTTTCTACAGTGTACACCATCTGAAATCATTCACTTTATACAAATCTATATACAGAAAACAGGAAAGTAGACATTCTTCATTAGTTGCAATACATACAATGAAAAAGGTACAGCATCAATTACTAAGGGAATGTGTTCTTTAAGCCAGACAGACCCAACAAGCCGAAAGGTAGAAAGATCCATTGGCATAGCATTCATAAAACACAGAAACATCTCAGGAGTGGCAAGAATAAACCAGAAAAGCAACATTCATAAGATCATGTGCAACTCAGATTCTGTTCTAAGATTAGTGAATGTACAGATATGAAAAACCTCTATGCCCTCTGTTTTACTACCAACTATAAGCCATATTTTCATGTCCTGGAAGGGGGAAGGACAAGGAGAATGTCTATATGACAGGAGGTTTGCAAAAGCTGTGGAACTGATTTGGGATGTAAGTTCCCAGATTGCCTGTGCCACTTTCCAGGAAAGTTGTAAAGACTGTACCTGAGCTTACACTTACTGAGACCCAGGAACAATTGTCTGATAACTGCTCATGCTCACTTTCATATTTAAAGCATGAAGAAATCAGCAGCTGAATCAAATCACAATAGCAAGCTGCTTACTTGGAAAGCAAGAGAGACCAGGCAAGGATAAGAGCTGTGCCACGAAAGGTTAGAACCGTATCTATAAAGATACGATCTCAATATTTTTGCAGTTCATCACACACTTCCTGCTTTCAAGATCATCATGCAAGGAAAGTGTCAATCCATTCCCCCCCCAGCCAAGCCCATCTGATAAATCAAAATTAAAACCAAAAATGCAATGCATGCCACTCTCCTCAGTATTTTGTGCAACAGAAGTAAAATACATCTTATCTGTTCTTTAACTTAAATTGCAAGACAAAAATCACTATGTTCCCCTCAGATACTGCCAAGTAATTATTACACAGCTGTTTCAAATAAGCCCTATAGAACCGTGAGCTGCAACACTGATCCATTTGTAGCTCAAAGGAAGCAACAATACTATGCAACCAGTACAAAGTTTTGCAAAATGGTGCTAATGGACATATAAACTTTAAGAATTGTTGATATAAACTTAATTACAATCCAAGGCCTCCTTTTAATCAGTTATTTTGTAGCCAAAGGACCTGCCTATGACACTGGAAACTAGACCTTTCATCTCTTCTCAGACTGGAGAGAGGGGGGGGAAAAGGAGCTGGAAGATACTTGCTTCAACTTCCCAGAACAGTATCTGTTGAAGCTGGGCCAACATCCAGAAAAAAAAGGTAGGACCCATTGGCCCAGAAGATAACAAGCAAAAAAAGTGACCCCATAGCTGAATCTGTGGATACTCTCTTATAACACAGTAAAGTGGTATTCTAAACAGCAGCAATATCTGACTGCTTATTTCTTGCAGCTGTAGATCGGCTGAACTGGTGACTATTTTCATTCAGAATAGAAAACAACATCCAAACTGACCATTGCATGTGGGGATGCTACACTGAGATGAAGCATTTGTATTTTGAAGCTGCACTTGCTAGAACTCAGAAAGGACACAATTTGGCCTCTAGAGATAATGAAAAACTAGTAGTGGGATAACAGACAGCTACTGTTGGTACAGGCAAACAGTGTCCGCATGACAGCAAAGAATAAAAAAAAAACAAACTCAAACCAAATTAACAACTGTAGCTTTTAATTTGAGGTCTGTGTAATAAATGAGGTTAAGTCAAAAGTTGCTACCACAGCACTTCCCTGTTTGCTCTGCAAACTGAAAATGTTCCCCCATTTCTTTCCCCAAGAAATTTAATTTCATCTAAGAAAAAGTACTTTGTGGTACTGAAATCTAAATCCAATGATCCTTAGCACCTAATCTTTTAGGTCTTTAAACAGCTCTTGTATTTAAAATAATTTCTGTCAGTCTTTTACTTTCAACACCACAAATTGCCTTTTATTTATCCTGATGCAGACTCAGGAAATATTAAAATAAAATTATCAGCTTTAACTGTAATGCACTGAAACTGTCCATCTTCTCTTCTTCTTGTAAATGCTTCCCCTGGATTAACTTGCACAAGAATAATCTTAAAAATAAAAGAGCATTTACAACCATTACACAGGAATATGTCACAGAAGTCTGGTACGTGCAAAAAAAAAGTTTTACTGGGAAAAAACTTTTTTTCTGGTTAGTAACTACATTATTTTTCATTCACACTGCTTGCTGCCTTCATCCCACAGAGAAAAACAGATAAGAGCAAGAACAAGTACAGATATTTTTAAACAAACATTTTTCAAAGAACCAAGGAGAGAATAACAACCGAGTAAAACAGTACCTGTACAACTTTTCTTTTCTTGACTGCTTAGTATAATTAAAAAGCTATTTGTACAGCTTAAATTATTTCAACAAATTACATTAACTTCAACATTAATCAAACCATTACATAAAGTTTTGGAAAGAAGCCTAGAATTCCCAGTGTTTGAATTTTCATCATAACCACTTGGCAAACAGTTTTCAACATAAGGGAAATATTGTGTCATTTCCTTCTTTACATGATCCAAGCATGTTTGTACATTAATTGATGATAAAACATTATTGGAAGTCATGACAAAGTAAATGCACCACATGCACAGCATGAAACAATATATATAGTTTTATTTGCGGAAAGCTGTTTATCCTAATTTTGTAAACCCATGCAATGCAGAATTGATAGCAAAGCACATTTAGCAGCCAAAATAAACAGAGGAAGTCTGACACGTACCAAAGCAGAAGCCCATTTTAGACTTCTGTATTCTCATTTGAAACCTGCCTTTCTGCGAGAGAAAAAGTTTGTAACGATGAAGAACCTAGCTAAAATTATGAACAAAGAAAAAACCCAGAAGAGCAGGTGCATTTCATAATTTCCTTTCTGGACACATCTTTCTTCAGTCTTGCTCACATGTGTCTAAATAGAGTGTATGTCCTCCTCCTGGTGTGAATTGGAGAGAGACAAATCTTTATATACACAACTCTTCAACATTATGGCCAAAAATTTACTCTGTTGAATTGCTAAAAGAAAATAAAATTGGTCTTGTTTACCAAAAAAAAAAAAAAAGAGAGAGAAAACAGGAAACTTGATGTTAAAATGTTACTCATTTTAGGAATACCACAGAAAGAGGAAAGGGTTAGGAAAAGGCAGAAATCATACAAATTCCTCCCCCTCTGGTAAAGCAACATTATGAATTAATGAAAAAATGGCAAGTTCTACCCTAACATAGCTGCAACTTTGATGAGACATGATGGATATTCACATTTTCAAACTTGGGCCATGTGATTCAATACTGATTTAGCCCAGTTTTGAGCATGCACTTTAAAAATACTACTTTAAGTTGTTTCATGTGCTACAGTGCTGTTACTGGAGAAAGATGTCTCCAGAAGCTTTAGGCTCTTTTAGAAAAAACAATTAACTATATCACTATTTATGTTTTATCATGCTAATAAATTTTCCAGATCTTCTAAAGTATGTCTGATTATAAAATTCAGTAAGAGTTAGCATTCATAATATAATTTAAACTTAGAAACAAGAGGATTTTAGACATGAACTTCAAATAAGACTTACAAGTCTTCAGAAAATATTGTATTGCCAGAGTTTATTGTAAGTGTTTGAAGGTAGCATTTTAACAACTGGCAATCACCTTCAGAACGTGACGAAGTGGAGAAATACGAGTGAATGAGTTCTTACAATTTATTTTTCAGACTCCCCAGGCAGGCATAACTTTTTGAAGACATATTTCATTGATTTACTTCCCCCTCTCTGCTACAATTGAAAGTTTTAGCTTGAAATTTAGACTACAATAAAAGTACCTAAAAGCTTTGCAGGAGTACATGAGAATGTCTTTCCATCTCCTATGTGTGGGTTGGATAACCACATTTACCCAAGTCTTTTGGCTGACTTAATATGCCCTAACCCCTGGGAGGAGCCGTTCTGGCTGCAGCTGACATGTCAATCTGTACAATTTTCAGCTCAATATTCTTGGTCTCCTCTGTATAAACTATAAGAAGCAGAAAAGCTGCAAAGCCCTCAAGTTTTAGGGCAATGGCTGATGTAATTCCCTTGATTACTACTTTTAAAGTAACAGGGAATGGGAGACGACTGGTATTCCATTTCTTCTGTGTCAGTGCCTGACGTTGGTAACCTGGGTAATGATGTTGCCTTGGGAACCTGCTGGTTCTCCTCCTCCAGACCTCTGCTGCAGGACATCTGAACTGGAGGCTCCAGCCAGCAGAGTGGATCTGAGCATAGGAATACATGTACTGGCCCAACTGCAGCAAGTGGGCCCTATGCCTCCCGATTTTCTTTTGTAGCTGTTTCTCCTGTGTGAGAATCTTTGTCTACTTCACAGCTAGTCTGAGAAAGTAAAGGCTCAGCATGCCAACCATGGTGTAACACAGTGAGAGGGGGCACTGTTCAGCAGCAGCTGTGCCATGAGACAACAGGTCTCCTGATGGAGTCCAGCACCACCCTGACACTCAGGATGTCATCAGATTCTCACATCTCTGAGCACATCTGACTTCCACTCAAAAGGGTACGGAGACTCACCGACTTAGCACAGTTTAATTAGACACTCAGTTCCCAGGAACAGGAAATAGAGCCTTTTTGTCAATGGACTATTAGTCTACTTGATGCCTGACTGTGTATTTATTTCACTGGCTCCCACTTTCAGCCTTGCTTTTATGTTGTGCATTCACATTTGTATTTTACAGCTGTTCCAAGATAGGCTGTATTTGTTGCCAAGTGTGCCAAAAGAGAGTCTGAATCAGGGCTGAAGTAATTTCAGAAGCTTCAAGAACTGCTGGCTTCAAAAGTCTTTGTGTTGGGGTAAGATGTGTCAACATGACCAGCACTGGTTGCTGGACCAGCCTGATCACTGCTGAACCCCATAGAGTAATCACTGCTTCGAGAAGGATATTTTTTACACTTACTCACCACGTCAGTAGATGCAATTTGAAATAAGAAAAGTTAAAGCTATGCCCACAGAGCCTGATACCTTTCTGGTCAGAAGAGGTATTACCAAAGACAGACAATCACTCACAGGGATCCCCTCTTATCTAATAGAAGTCTGCTGCACATAATCAAAGATGCAAGAAAATTTCTCTAAAGGAAAAGGTAACATGAATCTTTCACAGCACCACGTGTTAGGCAAATAAAATCTACAGGTTGCTTAGTATTTATAGCTCTTTCATCTCATTCTAGGTGGCTTTATGCAGGCTTGCACATCTCATTGTCCAACATGCTACTTCATGAACCCTGACATCAGTACTTACGAAAACCAAGGCCCTCGTCTTTCACACTGAATATTCTAGACCCTGATCTCCTTCCTCTTCTGGGCACAACACTCACATTGGCTGGAACCAAGTGAAAAGCTCTGGAAAAATCTGATGGCTCAGCCTCTCTTCCCAAACATCAATCTTTTTGTGACAAATCCTGTCGCTTTACTCACAGGGTCTAAAGCTCTGCTATCTAAAGGCTAACATGCATTATTCTATCCAGATTTCCATTGCCTGCTCCTCTAAGATAATTATGACAATCTGAAAAAACTCATTTGTGATGTGTCAATCTCAGTGGGAGGCACGTTTAACACAGCCACTTTTCAAATGCCATTTCTCTTTCTAAATCAACAAAACACCAGTTAAGGACTTCACGACCTTAACAAAATAATGAGAACTTCAGACACTGAGGCCTTGATACAGGCTCTAGAATCCTACAAGCACTTCTAAAGCATAACCAACTATAACAGAACCTAATAAAATTTAAAAGTGTAATTTCTCAATGCTAACACAACCTTGACTCAAGATATTTTTGTCTCAAGTTCAAAATACGTTAAGGCGCTGCTATTAAGAATTGGGAGTATTAGGACAACTAGTTTCGTGTAATTTCCACTGGGACTATAAATTGTTTCCTTTAAAAAGTTATTTAATGATGAACCACATGACCTCAATACAGTTCCTGATGAAAACCAGGACAGAATCTCTTTCCAGAGAATAGCATACAAGTTGGCAATACAGGACTGCATCTATACAATTATCCTAAAAACAATTCTTGCATAAATAAAACAAAATTACCAGCCCATATGACTAAAGTTTGAAATACCTGAAACACAGTTGTCAAAGACTGTCAGAGTTTTAACAGTGACATTTCATACTTTTCAATGGTACTTAATTTAGTCTACAAAAGACATTTTAGAAGACAAACCCAGATTAAGTGAACAACGTACTAAGCTTTGTAGTAGTTTAATTAAATAGGTATGGATAATAGAGGTTTCTTAGCACAATATTAAAAGCAAAATCCATCCTAAAAACATAGAAAGGCATTGCAAAAAGGAATAGTATTCATTAACCTCCCTTCTTAGCATGGAATACTTGACTTTTTTCCTGATTTTAAAACATTTACTTCACTGCCCATCCACTGTCAGTTCAAGATACATAGCCCAGATTGGCAAAGACCAGCTTCCTAACAAAAACTGAATCATGCCACATATTAGAAAGCTCAATAGCTTTTCCCTGAAATTGCTGTTTAAACTCAGGCAGCTACTCAAGCCCAATAAGAACATAAGAAATGTCCTCATGGTCTGGGTCAGCAGTCCAGCTCAGCAGTCCATCTAGCCCAGTACTTTATCTCTAATACATCAATCGAAGAAACTATTTAGGGCGAGCAAGTGAGCCAGGCCACTTTCTGCAGTCCATCTCTGTCATTGTCCATGAGTTTGCCTAAACTCTTTGAGTTTGCTTACACTTTGAATTGCCTCCACAACCTCCTATAACAGCAAGTTCCTGAAGTTCACCTTCTAGCCATTTTAAAACAATCTTCTAGTTAAATACCCCTAGTTCCTGTGCTATGGAATTTGCTGAATAACCGTTCTGAGTAAATTTCATCCACCTCCTTCATTATTTTTTAAGCCTTAGCAATTTCCCCCTCCTTGTCCCCAGTCTTTGCAAACTGAGACATCCTGTTTCTAATCTCTCCTAGGAGAACTGCTTCATCCCCTTGACCACGTCAGTGGTACCTAAAACCACATCTGTATTAGCAAAGTAAGCAGTGCTTGGGAA